AAAAGTTTCGCCGGCAATCTAATGCTTGGTTTTCTGCCAATCACAAAAATCAAGTGGCGATGAATTATAAAACTATATTCAAAATGATGGAATCTCATCAAACCAATATTATAAATGAAATCATGTTATTGAAATCAGCTTAGGAAAAAAAGGTAAGATCACTGGCTAGGCGCCGCAGCACGTGCAATTGACAGCCAACACCTCGCTAGAATCCGACCAACAAAATGGTAGACAAAAAATATACCAAAATATAGATTATATCTACAAATATAAGATACCTGCCACAAAGAATAAATTGCCGAAAAATATCTGAAAATTAGCGAAAGAGGCCGAAAAACCCTAGAACTTTCGAACTTCAACTCACCATTATCAGAGGTCTAACAGCTTGTTGGGTTTTGTTGCTGGGGTGGAGGTGAGTGTAATTAATGATGGTAGTGGTTGACGCCGGGGTGGCCAAAAAACCCAAACCGCCGGCCAGGAAATTATAGAAACCGGTGCATTCTGAACCACCTTCTACGGTGGTTAAATGGGGTGAAACTTGAGTGGAATGTGATGTTGGTAACGAGAGGAGTCGAATGGTGGTGGCATTGGGTTATCAGGCATATTATTGGATTAGCTTAATTCGAATTATTAAGTACGCAACGAACAATAATAAATAAACATATAACATGTTATCTCAATTATATATCTAGTTGATTGTAGAGCCGGTCCTGAGATTTTTTAGGTCCGGGACGATGCAAAAAAATGTGTTCTAACTTCATCTAAGAAAAATTATTTGTTTTCACACGTAAGACTTCGATAAAGTTATACTTAGAAAGACATTTCAATCTAAACAATTTGGAAACACGGAAAAACTAATGTATTTTGTATTTAAGAGAAGGGAACCAAAAAATCCCGGGCTTACAAGTGAATAGATAATGAGTTTTGTTTCTCTTCTATCTGAATTTTTAAAGTGTTTTATACATAAATAGTGAGGTGTTTTTTTTTCTTATTTACTAACTTTGTCGATATGGGACTTTAATTGACATGTATAAGTAATGAATGAGCACTAAATTAAATCTATTGGTGATATGTCATATAATTTGCAAATTTGGTTTACACATTACTATTGTTGAAGGTTAGACTTGAATTGAAATGAATGTTTAAAAACAGCAACTCACATAGCTACTAGTTAGTAATTAAAAAGAAATTAACAACCAAATAGAAATTCTCAAAACATAAACTAAGCCTATTCAGCCCTTAAATTATGTCACTCGCAAATCCTTCGTTAAAACTTCGATTCGCAAATAGTTTTCGCCTACGAGTTTATGGGTTTGGGCTCTGCCCAAAAAATCTAAGAGTGGCCTTGGAGGTCCACAAATCTCTAATGACTAAGTACGGAAAAGTCAAACTTAAAACTAAGCTAAACTCTAAAATAACAATAAAATAAAATCGCATATATACAAAATACAAAATATAAATAGTGAAATCCGGTGACATGATTTCACAGATAACCTCATTTAGGACATTACTCCCATACCTTTTAAGTCTTGTGGAATCATTCACAATACATTACCACTATAGTATAAAGTCGAACTCATCAATGAATATACTTGCCCCTTTATTAATTAATTAATATGAAATTATTATATAATATCCAATATTACATAAATTGGCTTGTAGGGCATAACTCCAACAGGTGGTTATCGAGATTAGTTCACAAGAAAACACTGTGAAACGGCGTCTAAAAAATGTCGAGAAAACCAAGTCAATTCATAGATCTGACTACATAATTTGGGTTGGCTCGCAAGTTGGTTCTGAAATGGAATGGGCCAATCCAACAGATGGGCCTGCTATATATAAAATTGTTAAATTACCAATTTGCCCCTTACTTTGTTTGCTTACAACTTCTTCCTTATAACTTCGTTTCGTGAATAGTTTTTGCCTACGTGCTCAAGAGATCAAGCTTGATCTAAAAAATCCAATAGTGATCCTAAAAGGTATATGAACTTTTGTTGGATAATTAAGAAAAATCAAATTTAAACTAACCAATCAAAAATCCAAAAGTATTGAAAATAAATTAAACTTCACAAAAATATGAAATACGGTAATGAATAGTGAAATCTGGAGACACTAGATGTGTTTTGAAGTAATATTTATGGAGCATGTAAATACAGCGCTAAATGAAAAGATTGTAGTTGTATTGTTGAATCAAAAGGAACTTTAGAATTTCATATGTTAATGTTTTGTAATCTAGTATGAAGTTTTTTTCAATTGATTATTTATTTGAACTCATATAACCTCTTTTTACACCCAACTTACTCTCTACACTTATATTATTTTTAATTAAAGAATTAATATCTCTTTAAACCCAAATTTACTATCTAAACTACCCTCACAAACCCAATTCAAAATGTAAAGTTATCTTTACACCCATTTAATAAATAAAATCCCAAAAACTCATCTTCTCAACTTTGATGATCGTGAATTGAAACTCACGAGGACTTTGATTTTGTCGGATTACTTACTAAAATGTTATTTTAACTAACTGATGGTATAGATTTGTAACTGTTGAGGACGTTCCAAACTTTTTTTTTATGCATGACCTTTAACATTGTAACTCACTTTTTCTCAAAATAAAAAAAAATGACAACTTTTGAAGAGGATTTACAAATATATTGTTACTTACAAATTAAGGAGAGAAGTCTATTAACAAATTAGCTTTAACAAGAAGCCTAATGACGAATGAAAATTAAGCTGATTGGGATAGAGGAACGTTTTTACTTACAAACTCTGCCTTTAAAGGAGAGATGGGTACAAGTTCCTAATTGTAATGGTAACATGGTGTGTAGTTGCAAAACCCAAAAACCAAGGAAACTCAAAAACCCATCTTTCAAAGTTAAAAAAATAAAAAAATAAAAAAAAAATAAAATAAAAATAAAATAAAAAATTGAAATAAAATTAAAAAAAATTGCATAAATCAATTCATACCTGAGTTGGAGGGTTCAAAACTGCAAAATCCCCATCCATCGATAAAAATAAAAAAAATAAAAAAAATAAAAATAAAAACCTGTTTTTCTGTATGGGAGCTTTTAGGATTTTAGCCGAAATGAACGTAGGATAAACATTGTGTGATGGTGGAGTTTAATTATTGAGTATGAGTTTATTTATTAATTTTAGTTTTGTTGTTATTTTCACCTTGTACTTGATAGTAATTATGCAATAGGATAAAAAAGAAAATTCACATTTAAAATTTAAGTCGGATGTAGAAAGAGGTTATATGAGTTCAAATAAAATTTTCTTGTATTAAACTAATATATTGTTCTTAATGGGTGCAATGGATCGGGCAGGTAACACGATATTTAACGGGTCATGTTTGGGTTTGAAGTTTTAAATCTGTTAAGGTAATGGATTTGACACGACTTGGTTCATTAAGATAATAAATCTGAAACAATAACAATACAAACACTACCCGTTTGACAAATCTAGTTTAAATACAAATTGAATACCATTCATGTAAATAGTGATAAAGTTCAATTTTAATACATATTTGCCATGCAAACATTAACCAATAACTACGACGAGATTCTCCTCCAACGACCACCATTATCGGCCAACTTTGGCTGGACACGACTATCACTGACCAATATTGCCAGCCAACTCCGCTGTCCACCACTAGTAGCCCATGGCCGATCAAACTCCGACGAGTCCCTCCGCTCTAATGATCTTGAAAAAAAAAATTAAGAGAATATGTGACATGGGTGGGATTGCAAACTTCCACCTTAAGGAAAACATAACACCCATAACCACTACATCAATCATCCAACTATGATTAGAAGCCCTCTCAATTATATCTGTACTTGAAATATCTTATCATTTTTTTATATGTTGACTTATTTTAACTCCAATTCACACAGGTTTAGACCAAAATGCTCATCATCTCGAGCTTTACATGGATTGACAAATTTCAAGTCATAAATATACACAAAGGAACATATTACACATGAATCACAATTTTTAGTAATCAAACACAAACAAATACAAAATTTAAAAGTTACAACCACTGCAAACCACTCCACAAAAGTTAACTTGGTTTAGAATTTAAAAATGGACATCGCCAATTAGACAAAAGTAAAAACTACAAACCAACGAATCCTAATCTTTCTAAATTCTTGTTTCTTAGATGCATAGAGATGTCCAACTGTTGTTTGTAGTCATAAGCAAATTTCTTAGATGATCAACCTAATCTTGGCCACTCCGGAACAGCCACAGTTTGAGTTCAGAGTTTCCGAAAGACGTACATTGGTTTTTGCTCACCCCCTATCAATATATTGGCCCCTGATTATGATATTGTGCTTACAATTTAGCCAAAAGTCAAAGGCAAGTAATATTCTTTCCCATAAATTAATAATCTCCACAAAGACAAATTATAGATGTACCCGTCGAAATGATTAATCCAATATTTAGTTCCTCAATTTGTAAATGAATAAAAAAATATGAAGAGATGAGTTGTTCATACCATTTTCTCATGTATATTCTTGTTTATATTTTGAGTTGAATAAATTAACGGAGAAAAGGGATATAAACAAAGAGGGATTTAAAAAAAAGAAAAAAAAAATGGAAAGGGGTGTGCCAGGACCATTGTCCTAACCAAAACTCATTTGAATGCAGAATGGTTAACTGACTCTATGCAAATTTTTTTGTTTTTTGTTTTTTTGTCAATTATGTTTATGGCTGTAGTTTATCACATTGAAGGTAACGGATTAACAAATTGTTCAAAACATTGGTTATCTCACACAATGGAGAAAATACAAAGAAAAACTTTGTAGTATACGAAATATCCTCATCTGACGCACCAAATAGTAGAACCATGCACCTTGATATTGTAAGTTATAATCCTGCCTTGAGATACTTCAATATTTTCGGGATAAACAGGGGGGAAAGGTAGACAAATGGAAACATAGTTTATCACAGTTCACTCAGTTTCTGATGAGTCCAACAAAGAAGTGGAACCAACAAAAATGCCGAGCAGGAGAGGTTTCAATCTGTTTCTGAAGGGACTGGTATGCATTGGGGTGTTTTCTTACTCAATCATGGTATCCATGGGAGGCGAGTCACCAGAGTTTGAAGCTTTGCTGCAATTCATTAGAGCTGTTGATCCTCAAGATATACTTAAAGTTGGCCAGAATGCACCTATGCGGCAAAATCCCTGCATACATAAGTGGAAGGGTGTGACATGCAACTCACTCGCTACTTCGATAACAGAAATCAGGCTTGAAAATTTGAATCTTAGTGGCATACTTGATGTAGGTTCACTATGTAATCTCCCGAATCTTCGAGTTGTTAGCCTAGCAAAAAACCAAATTGGGGGAACTATTTCTAACTCAATATTGCATTGCACAAGGCTAACATATTTGAATATAAGCAGCAATGTTCTGAGTGGAAGGATACCCAAGGCTCTGACTAAACTGAAATATCTGAGGGGACTGGACATCTCCAACAATCATTTTATTAGCACCGCCTCACGCTCTGAAGAGGGAGTTCAGCCGATTCATACATACTTGAAGAAATCGAGGAGATTACAGAGACATGGTGCCATGAAGCAGGAAAAGGTAGTAAATTCAGTGGCCGTAGCAACAGAGTCCGAGAGACCAAGCAGTGGCAGTGGCAGTGATTCAGATACCTTTAGACCGTGGTACAAGAAATACGAATACATGATGCCATTAATTGTGGGGCTTGGCTTCTTTCTCTTGTTCATGTACTTTGCAGGAAGGAAGGCTGCTAAGATAGCTGAAGAGAGGGAGATTCTCAAATCGCTTCGAGACTCGCCTCAGAATATTCCGCCTCCTAAGGTTCAAGAGGGAGAGAAGCCAGTGGAGAACCGATCGGAGCTTGTCTTCTTCGTTGAAGAACATGAAAGTTTTAAATTGGAAGACCTCCTTGAAGCCACAGCTGACTTGAGAAACCAGTCCTTTTGCAGCAGCCTTTACAAGGTAATACTGAAAAACAATGCCCTATATGCAGTCAAAAGATTGAAGAAATTGCAAGTACCCTTTGAGGAGTTTGGCCAAACAATGAGACAAATAGGGATTATAAAGCATCCCAACATTCTACCACTCGTTGGTTACAATTCCACTAACGAAGAAAAACTTTTGATCTACAAGTTTCAAAGCAATGGAAGTCTGCTAAACCTGCTTGAGAGTAAGTTCACATCAAACTATTCTATGTACTATTCTAATCTTAGGAGTGGGGTGGGATTCGAACAAGGGTGCAAGGGGGTGGGCACACTGCCCACATGTACATATTCCTTGCACATTTTCAATCACCTAGAATTTACAAATGCCCTAAACTGCTTCATATATTTATGTGCAGGCTACACAGAAGGTAAGAGGGATTTTCCATGGAGGCTTCGGCTCTCTATAGCACGCGGTATTTCAAGGGGGCTAGACTTCATATATCAGAGGACTGATGACTGCATCCCTCATGGGAATCTCAAGCTTTCAAATATCCTCTTAGATGACAATGATGAACCACTGATTAGCGAGTACGGGCTTTCAAGTTTTTTCGACCCCAAGAAAGGGTGTACCATTTCCTCCAATGGTTACACAGCCCCAGAGAAAATGTTATCAGAAAAGGGAGATATTTATAGCTTCGGCGTGATTCTTCTGGAGTTACTAACAGGCAAAACTGTTGAAGGAACTGGGATAGACCTTCCTAAGTGGGTGACTGCCATGGTTAAGGAGGAGTGGACTGGGGAGGTCTTCGACAAGGAGGTTGCTAAAGCTGCAAAAGAATGGGCATTTCCTCTTCTCAACATTGCCCTCAAGTGTGTATCAGCTTCACCTACAAACAGGCCAACTGCGGAAAATGTTTACGGAAAGATTGAAGAGGTTATACTTGACACCTCAAATTCATCGGATTGTACTACTGAGTGTGGTGGCTACCAAGACAACTGCTGTATGCTTCACTCCATCATACCTGAAACCTGGGACAGTCCTGGATCAAATTATTAACTAAGGCTTCTACTTTACATACGTAATTTTTTCGTACTTTTGTATCGGATTGTAGGTCGTACAAGCTTTTTATCTACATTCAACATAAAGAACAACTAGCCCCGTTGAGTACTTTCTATATAGAAGATCTGTGTATTTGCTATATATTGTTAGATTAAAGAAGGCAGCAGCGGATTTATTTATTACTCATTAGGTAGAGAGAGTACAACAAACTTATGATATATATCATGTCAAGCTGTGGTTCATTATCAAGCAGCTTCTTGTCTTGGTAATTACTTAATTTTCAATCTTAGTCACTCACACGTATATATCAAAGGATAATTTTTTTATTGTGACCGGAATATGGGTGGTACATCATGTGTTTTTATACAAGTGGTGGGAAATTGTATTTTTTAAGTTATTAACATTTTGACACACATCTCACCATTTGTATAATGACTCGTGGTGTACCATCTCATATTCCGGTCATACTGAAAAATCTCTCATATCAAAGACTAATAACCGTGTATGATTTTGAGGAAAAGCAGTTTACATAACCATTACATGGGCAAAATAAATAATTCTTTCAATTCAACTAGGAAGGTTTATATCATCATTGTTATTAGTTACCCATGAATTCTGTAAACTAAGGCCTCGTTTGTTAGAGTGGATGAGCTTGGATATGATTATTCATTGTATTGAAGGCATTTTGAATGAAAAAATGGATGAGAACTTTCCATATTTTTGTCCAAGTTGAAGGCTCTTCATGAGAAAAAGATATATTTACTAATCCCTCTAAAAATGGTAGGACTAATAGAGACAACTTTTCTTTAAGTGTAACCTTTAACTTGGACAAAATAAGAAAATTGACATCCAATTCTTCCTTTAGAATGCTTTCAATATAATGAATAATCATATCCAAACCAATCTTCTTGAGGCCTAAAAGTCCGCTTGATAAGCACTTCATTTTTTTTTTTTTTTTCACTTTTATACTAGAGATAAATGAGAGATACTTGGAAAAATGATGATATAGAATAGTGAAGGAAGGATGGTAAGAGATAAGTAGAAGAAATGAACAAGGAAAGATGCATAAAGTAAAAACCAAGCGGATGTAGAATCCTGGATTAAAATCCGAGGGTATGTAAAATAAGTGTATAAGTATACAAGAAAAAAAAATATGTAGAAGAAATGTACAATGGATGTATTTTTCACTCTTTTTTATTTAATCCCCTCTCTCCCACGCCTAAATTAATCTTAGCATTTAGGAATGCCTCTTTTGTAACTAATATATGAAGTGGTGATTCATGCTACATGTGACCAGGATTGCAAGAGCAAATTACCTTTCTTATTTAATCACCTAGTGAGCCGCTTCGTTACATCGTTGAGGAGCATACAAATACATTTTTTTGTTATTACAAGTGATATTCATACATACTCTAAATACTAGACTTAGGGGAGAGTTTGAACCTGTAAGCCACCACTTTCCATACAAAAACTCTATTCACTCCATTCATTTTGCAAGGTGCAGAATGTCATGTAGGTATGTTCAGAAGTGTTTTGGAAAATAACTAAAAGAGCTTTCATGTAAGATCCCACATCGTTCATGGGAGTGATCCTTATATGTATATTCTCATCCCTACCTAGTACGAGGCCTTTTGGAAGCTCATTGGCTTCTAGTTCCATCGGAACTCCGAAGTTAAGTGAGTAGCGCGCGAGAGCATTCCCAGGATGGGTGACCCATCCGAAAGTTCTCGTGTGAGTTCCCAAAAAAAAAAACCGTGAGGGCATGGTTGGGGCCCAAATGGGACAATATCGTGCTATGGTCGTGGAGCAGGCCCGGGAAATGGTCCCGCCCAGGCCGGGATGTGACAATTTGGTATTAGAGCCTATCCCTGGTTGTGGTGTGCTGACGAGAATGTCGGGCCCCTAAAGGGGGATGGATTGTAAGATCCCACATTGCCCATGGGAGTGATCCTTATATGTATATTCTCATCCCTACCTAGTACGAGGCCTTTTGGGAGCTCATTGGTTTCGGGTTCTATCGGAACTCTGAAGTTAAGCGAGTAGTGCACGAGAGCATTCCTAGGACGGGTGACCCATCAGGAAGTTCTCGTGTGAGTTCTCAAAAACAAAACCGTAAGGCATGGTTGGGGCCTAAAACGGACAATATCGTGCTACGGTGATGGAGCGGGCCCGGAAAGTAGTCCTGCCTGGACCGGGATGTGACATTGCATGCCACCAAAAGCGCTAGTTTGGGAAAAAAAAATTAAAAGTGCTTCTGAATTGAAAATCGAACTAAGTGTTTTCGAAAAATATGCATGATGTGTGCTTCGTTAAAAATTTTGATGTACTTCAAATAAAAGTGTTTCTACCCATTTTGTGTACATTTTTTTATATATGCATTTGCTTACATATTTATTCATCATCCTTCAACTTCTTTATACTATATCCGTGAGTTCTCACATGTATTTTCCCACCCTATCTATCACAAAAAAAGAAGCATTTTAAATGACCGAAAATGTTTCTAATGAAAGTGTTTTTGAAACCAATTCTTAGTAAAAAATAGTTAATCATAGAAAAGTACTTGAAGTGTTTCCTACAAGAAGCACATAACTGATGCTTCTTTTACTCTGCACTTCAAATGCTTTAGGTAACCAAAAACAGTTTCACCAAAAGTGCTTCCAATTAATTTAAAAGCACTTCCAAACATCAATTTTTTGGTTGGGTAGTGCTATCTACACATCAATTTTTACTTCTCACACACCCCTCTCAATATTCGGCCGTCCGATCAATAAATTGAAGAAAATTAATAACAAAAAATTAGTGAAGATATGTGAGAAGTAAAAACAAGTGTAAATAACACTATTCCGTAATCAAACCATAAAAATGACAACCTATTCTCTTCCACTATTTATTGAATGCATGTACTGAGAGGGACGTGCCGGAAGCCTGGAGCTAAAGTCCCAATTGCACTTGGTTTAGAGCACTTTCAGTGTTGGAAGGCCCCCCAGGGCAACTGTTAAATCCCCTTCAATGAATAGTAATTACCTTTAATGGACAATAATTGTCTTTTGCATCTCCACTCCTAAACTGAATAGTCATGGCAATAGGCAATAAAAGATTAGTATTTTTTATTTTATAAAATAATAAAAAATAATTTTATTTGTAATTTTGAATAGAATTTTTAATTGGTCTCGCTGCGCCACGTATCATTAAATAAGAAATTACAATCCAAAGTATTTGAGAAAATATAAAATTGTGATGTAAGGTAGAAGATAATAATAAGATATTTATAGAAAAAAAATTCAGATTTTTTATTCATTTTTTAATTAATTTTTTACATTTTTATTAATTTTCATTAATTTTTTATATTTTTTATTAATTTTATAACGTAATTGACATCAGCTTTGCATCACGCCCTCATGCGCTCGAGCCGTAGATTCATGTCTCCTCTCTCTCCCATGGACCCCCCTTGACCCATGCATGGGCTGGAGCAAGGAAGGCTGGTGATTTGGGTTATTAAGCAGCCGGTCCCCCGTTTAACAACGCTCTACTTGTTCTTGGCAGGTCAAGTCGTTGGATGAGATTTCTTTATCCACGACCGTGACTAACAAGCCATTATGGATGGGACGTTTTGTTTATTTTCTAGGTTGTATTTGGTCACTTATTGGCGTTGCCAGGTGAGTTTAATATGTCAACATCCAGAAATTTTCATCAATTTTATATAGATATTTGTTGTATTTCCGGACCTACTCACTAAAATGTAACTTATATAAGAGTAGGATTATGTCTCGTCCTCTTCTCATCTTCTTCCCACCTCTCCTTTCATATTTTATTTTTTGTCTTATTGTTTTTATAAAAAAATTAACATAAGATATTGACGTGACTTAACCGTAATCATTCAAGTAGGAAGAAAGGAAAAGGAAAAGAGATTATGAGAGAAAAGAATCACCCTCCACTTATATAAGGGTTGTGGGCCGAAATGATCTAGTTTCAGCTCTTACTTGTTGTAATGATCAAATTTTAATGTGCCGTCAATTATGATCTTTGATCGGTTCAACAATTGAAATTTAATTTTAATTATTTTAACCGAAAGATGTAATGGTAAATTACAAAGCATAGCCCCATATTTGGGCATTATTATGACAGTCGTCAACATAAACGTCCTCAAGTGTATGTGCCCCTGGGAACTTAAGAGAAGGTAGAATTCTTTTAGGAAATATTTGTTTTAAAGTTAGTTGTCTTGGTTCTTTTTATTAAAAAATTCAAGGGTAGAGGAGAAACAAAGTTGGAATTTTGGAAAGACAGCCATCATAGACCAAGATCTAGGTTTTGTTTTCATTTTAAAGAGAATTTTTGTGTCTAGGACTAGTCTATTTAAGTCAGAGTTATGTTAAGAAAACTAAATTTGTACATAAAATTTTGTAAACTAAATAACATAAAAGTTAATAATTGGATTATTATTTAAACGTTGATAAACGTGTTCGTTTTTTTATTGGTGACATGTCATTTGGTTTGTAAAATGGGGTGTAACTACCATAAAATTCAATTAAATGTAATGAAAAATTTTATGGGTGTGAATCGAATTCTTGTCTTTAAATTTTCTGTCGAAGAAGGGTGAAATTTAAGAGATCGTTGGAGTACGGAGAAAATAGGTATAGGGAGAAATATGGATGATATCATAATTTCTGATTTAGAGATGCAAATTAAGGTGTTGTATATAACTGATGATGATCAAGATATGTCCTGTCTAATGTGATTACTCAAACTTTGCAAGTGGTGGATTACTATAATGGATATAGTCTCCCTTTTTAATGAGAGATATATCATAATATATATAATTGGACGACAAAGTTGATATTTTTGGTTATATTTTTCAGTGTTCATCAATTTATATAACGACACGTGGTGTACCACTTTGTATGCTGAGTACATTGAAAAATCTCTTCTCTTTAACCCACTGCAATTCGAGTTCAAAGTATTTTCTCTTTTATCATTCAGATTATTTGTCGTTTGTAAAAAGAAATTACTCAACCTTTGATGTTGTAACTCATGAGTTTCAATGTACAGCTAGATTTTGTCTTGTATTATTATGTAATTAGACATTTTATAACATGCTTTGCTCGAGGCCTCCAGCTTGGTTTGTGCATGAGGCAAATAATTTATAAGTTCAATTACTGGCGCACTATCAAGCCAATACCATTGTGTCCGACATAAGCTTTCATGTCAAATCATTATCCTTTTCTTGCCCCAAAAACCATACTCTCAATTATGATCATGTTCCTGAATTCATACTCTCAAATATATTAGGCATGTAATTTGTTATTGCTAACTACTAAAGTATGAATTAATTACCAGCTATTCCTCTTAAAATACATGCAATAATGTGTCCTTTGCCATTATAAAATGACTCCAAGCAATCTCTACTCAGATGGGAAATTATTGTGCCCATCTACCACGCAATGTGTTATATTTTGCAATGTATATCGAGTCCACTTATATTATAACATGTGTACTATTATTAATCATATATATCAAAGCTTTTAACCCCAAAACAACAAATTTAAAATTTAGGGGCGTTTTGGTATAAGTGCCTGAGTTTTCAACTCTATAGACTAAACATTTGTTGGTTTTAGAGATTTAATTAAAAAAATCTCCTACAAATTTGGAGTCTCATCTATCATAACTATCATTTATTTGTACCAAAATTACAGATCTTACCACTGCCTAAATTCTTCACGTCAGAAAAAAATGCAGAGATATTAAAACAAATTTACTACAATCTAGCTTCTTTGATTCCCTCTAATGATAATTATACCAAACAAAAAATGATTATCTACAATTTATTAAGGAATAAAATATCTTGCCGTTTGTTTTTTATTTTTTATTTTTTATTTTTCCTTTCAATGAAGAAATAAAATACCATTTAAGATATTTGTAGTAATCCATATATAAATTTTTGTAGTAATTCATATAAGAAAATAACATAGAGAATAATACAAATGTACCAATAAAAAATATATGTATGAAAACAAACGTTGAAGAACAAAAGTAAATGTACCAATCAACGATATGTATAATATTAATCGTACCCATATGACACTAAATGGTACAATCCATAATGTATACAAAAACAATCATAACAAAATCGTGAAAAAAACCTATCAATCAACGAGAACAAAACTAAACATACCGGAAGCTAAAACAAAACATACCGAAAGCTAAAACAAAACGTACCAATCAACAATATGTACACCCAAAAATTAAAAATAAACGTACCAATCAATTTATACAAAACCAATATATGATAACCAACAATAAACATACCATTATCACTAATCAACAATATGTACAAATTCAAATGTATACGAAATAATTATCTAACAAAAAGTATACTAAATAATAAACAAACAAAAAAATCTATGTGTCCATCATTTCAATTATTTTTTCAATTTTAGGATAAAAAAATGTTTTGAACGAAAATAAAAATTAAAAGAGATAATTGGATAAATATGTTGAGCAAAAAAACCAAAATTATCTCCTAAAAAGAGTCCACAACTCCTAAAATACATGAATAAAAAAAAAAGGCCGGATAAAAAAAAATTCTCCCAACTAATTAAAAGGACAAATTTAGAAATCAATATGTAAAATTTTAATTTAAAAAAATGCAATTATTATTTTTAATTTAAAAAATAAGAAATACTGATGTGGCCTAATGTACCAAAGCGCCTTGATCAAAAGGCATGAATGTTTAATAAAAGAAATTCAAATTTTGAGCGTTTAAATCTAATTCACTCTAAAATTTAATACATTTTATAATCTTCCTTCCTAATGACCAGAAAAAGGAAACAAATATAATTTTTTTTTTTTTTTTTGTAATTAAAATCCTACGTAATTTTTTTTTCAATTAAATTATATGTAATTAGGTGAAAAACATTGCAGGATATCTACTGCGAGAGAAACAAACATACGGAAATTTCCAAAACGAATTGCTTTCTACTTGCTCTATGTTGGAAAAGTCGAAATTGAATTCTTTATTTTACACTAAAACTTTTGAAATATTTATTATTTGGGTAAGTGACTTACCGTAAGTCCAATATTTTATGTTTGAGGGTTTAGTTCTTGTATTAGCATGATTTCATAGCCTATTCATATATTTGGTTGGGGTGAGCTCCTGCTGTTATACAAATGTACTTGCTTTTTATCTTTTTTGGGCCAACAAACATTTAAACATGCTAACATGCATGTCGATACTTAGTTTATCAGATTATTTCAAAAGTATATTTTCATGTCTACACGCTTTTTAGCTTAAACATTTCCTCAAAATTGAAACGACGCAAGAGTTTGACAAAGTGAATAATACATGCATTTCTTAGATTTGACAAAAGAATTGGAACCGTGCTCATGGACTCTTTTTTTTTAGGGGTGTGCTATCCACACACCCCTTTTTACTTCTCATACCCTTTTGTTAATTTTTGTTCGTTGATCCTTTTTAATTCATCCGATCCGACGGCTAAAAATTAGAAGGGTGTGAGAGAAGTAAAAAGAGATGCATGGATATCACACCCCTTTTTTTATCTTTCTTCTCATGTGTTAGGTCATATAAGAAGGGAGATAAAATATGAGTCGTGACCACCACACGTAAGTTGAGATGGATGATTTTATGGGTGATAATATAGTTTTGTTACCATATGGTTTCAGTTCTTTTCGTACGTGCGTTTTTATTTACCCCTCAAATGAAGGTTTTAGAGTTGAGAACACTCACTACAAAAAATATGGTCACTGCACACAATAAATTATTTGTGCCCTTTTGAGGCCGAAGAGCACCAAAATATGTGCCCATAGACCAATAACAACAGTACAACAAATATATTTCTATATGTGCCTTCTATGGATGTTACCTTTGCTAAAAGAGCACAATAAACTGTTTGGTGCTCAAAGAGGTAGGCACAAATGAACCACTATTTGTGCCTCGTTTCTAACAACTTGTCAGATAACCTTTTCCAGACAAGTTGGCACTTCATATTGTAATTGTGCCAACATGAATTAAATATTAAAAAAAAATCAAAATTTGTAACTAAAATTGAGGAAATGAAAATTTTTAATTTTCTTAAAATGACAAGGCCTACAACACATTCCCAATCTCACAAACATAATGTAATGTTACATATTTTATCTCTAATACAATAAAACTTGAAAGCACACATTTTTGGACAGATGCATTTTCCCCAGCAAGCCTTGCACCTCATCAGAAGCCATAACAGATACAGTTGAATTCAAAACAAAATTAATCCAAAATTACACCTAAAAAGGAGTTAGTTAAAATCAACACATACAAGTTCCAGATCTACCATATCAAAGATTCATATTCCTCACTCCAGGTTGTAAAAGTAGCTTCTAGGTCTGAGACAACACATTTCTTCAGCTCATAGTCACCTGAATCGAAAAAATATGTAAGTTTGCATATTATTTAGGGCCAAAGTGAGTTGCTTATTTTAATGACATATCTAGTGTACATCATCAATAAACCTGCAATTTTAAAGGAGAAAATGAGTCTTAACTGTTGGAAACAATGGATAAATAGAATATTCACAAATATACAACTAAACAATGGAGAAAATGAGTCTTAACTGTCAGTGATACTTAAATCTTCAAAGCGTGGAATGTCCAAATAGGGAGGCCAGCTTGCTGGTACTTCCAAATCTTTGGTAACAAGACAAACACGCAAACAAAAGCCGGTACGCTTTAGTCTTTAGTAAGAATAATTAAAGAAAAAAGTGCATCTTATATACAATTCCAAGAAGACATAGTATAACTAGAATGCAAAACAGCAAACCCCTCAAGCCATTTCTCCTTGCAAAGATTAATAAAAGCATTTGTATATCTTCTAAAGATACCATCCAATCGATCCACCAAAATATCAATATCTTGTAGTTCAGGCAATTAAACTATGGGTAGGGCAAAAACAAGCTTTTATGATTTAGTTCTACAACCTAATTCATACAGATAATGAAACCAATAATTCCTAATACCATTGCATTTGAATTCGTCGGAAGCCAAACAACCTTCAACCACCACAAATAACCCAATATAGACATCCCCTGCTCTGACAGCCTCTCAAAAATGACCATGAGTAAGAAATATATCAAGCAATAAAATACATTATAACATTGGATATCGCTGAAAAAAATGAACTATAAGTTTAGACTACCAAGAAGCTCTTGAAAATGAAGGTGACAATCATTTACACAGAATAGCAAGAATGAGTATGTAATGGCTTCCAAATTTTTAAATCATGATTCCTTTTCTTTACCTGATGAGATGCTACATATCCTTCCTCCCACAGATTAATTGGTGTAATATGTATACATGCACTCGTTTGTGATTGAAACATAATGACTTTTGCCAGACACTTTAGTAACATTTTTAATTTCTTCATGCATGATAATCAATCGTCACACAGATTAACACATGAAAAAAGCAATCCACAATCCCAATAATGCGATTCTACCTCTTTCGAATGTAGAATAAAAGAGAGATGCAAAAAAAAATCTCAAAATAGGTCATTTTCTACAACATATTACAAATACGAATTTTAGGAACTTAGGAGATAATTAGTAGTTGGTCTAGAGTTTAATTGACATAACACACAAGTGTAATGGAAAAAAAAAATTGCACATCTCGTCATGGGCATCATAATTAACTGTAAGACATTGACAAATTTTCACATTCAATGATGATGACGTTATCCTATAGTCAAATTGAAACTTCCCCAAAAGAAACCCAGTTAAAAACAGTCAAGAAATGAAGATTTACATAATTTAATTACCACTTAAACACCAGTCAACGATCATGAATTCGAAACAAGAAATACTAAAACAAAGTACTACCTAGAAACCAAAACACATTAAAATTGAAAAATCTTAGAAAAAGATTACCTGATTTTACCAACGCGATTTCCGATTCAGGCTCTACATCCACCGATCTTCCCAAACCCGACCAACCCCCTCCACATAAGTGTTCATGCACATAGAGAAATTGCATGTAAACATACAATATTGTAAATTTCGTATAATTTTATGAGAACCACAAATCAGACACAAATATATACTTACAAGTTATAACCAAACATTATGAGGGGCATTCTTCGATTGATGGCAAATAGAATATATTTGTACTATATATGAACACTTCGAATTTACAGGTTACCCACATGCACAGCACATCATCAACTACCGTCATGCATTCCAGGACAACAAAGTGGAACCAGACGCCCCAAACGAAAATAAGACAATTAACTACTTCAAGTTTAAACGAGTAAAACGGATGTGAATCTTTTCATAAGCTCTTCCATAAACTTCCATAAGCTACTTATGATACTAGGATGAATTTAAGCAAAAAAAAAATCCAATCTTTGACATGCATACAAAAAAAAATCCATACGTGGGTTGGTCTAATTCTTCTCGGCCCAGGTTGAAAACAAACTTGATTTACCTTCCTCGCCCAATCTTTGACATGCATACAGAAAATGGATTTAAAATTCGAAATCTAGAAATGACCCCAAAACTAAATTTTTTTATTTTGGAAAAGAACTTACAGTGGAGGACAGCCCACAAGGAGAGGATCATATTTACCTCTTGGGTCGAGGTCCAATTCCGGCAGGTTTGGCCAAAATTTTGTCGGAAAATCTGCGGCCACCGCTTCTTAGATATGAAATTGACGAAATTCAGCTACAAATTTGTAGAAACTAACTTGGGGGTTGGAAAGAGGACGTGAAGAGGATTCTGGAGGTTTAATTTGACGGTCGTTGGTGACCAGTGAACGGCTTGCGTGAAAGAGAAGGAGAGAGAGAGAAAGAGAGAGAGAGATGACGAAAGGGGAAGGGAGGAGAAGGAAAATGGGAGAGAAAGGAGTTGGACGTTTGTGAAGGGAAGAGAGATTTTTTTAAGTTTTTCATATTTTTTATAAATGTATTTAACTTATCCTATCTGAAATCTGAAATCTGAAAGCAGTACAATACAAACCTCTTTTGGTTTCCTTACTATCCCCGTAAAAATCCCAAAATGTTATAAATAGATCAAAGTTAGAGAGATAACATTTTAATGAATGGAGTAAAGTAGATGTAAAATATCACACTGAAACTATAGTACAAGAGGATAACAAATAAAAGACAAAGGAATATATGATGTTATTGATCTTTTATCACGTTCTCTTCTTTTTATATTTTTTTATCACTTGAAAGCATACGGAGTGCTCTATTTATAGAGCAACTCCAAACTGATGCATTAACTGCACATTGAAGTTTACAGCACTTCCTTTGACAATACAACCTCCATGCATTTACAAATTCAATTTCACTTTGCATGGGCATTGAAAACTTCTACCAATGTTGGAAAACTTCTACCAATGTATTGTGGGCATTCATTACCCACCAGTCTTTTCAACACTCCCCCTTAGATGCCCACATATCAACATGAGTTGACTCGTTAAAACCTTGCTTGGAAAAACCCAGTGAGAAAAAACCATAGCGAAGGAAAAAGAGTACAACTTTTCCTGGATCGTTGATATAGTGTCAAGTATGCTTATGGTGCCTCGTTAAAACCTTGATAGGAAAAACCCAGTGGGAAAAATCCTAATCGAAGGAAAAAGAGTACAACAAACATGTATTATGGATGCTCCCCTGATTCCGCATTCTCCAAATTTAGCTGTTTGGTAAGTCGACGTAATCCAATACTTTACACTAACTTCTGAAACGTGCACTTTGGTAGAGATTTGGTGAACAAGTTTGCCAGATTTTCATTCAAACGGATTTGTCTGACTTCAATAACTTTAGCCTTCTGAAGCTCATGTGCACTGAAAAACTTTGGAGATATGTGTTTAGTCTTATCGCCCTTGATGAATCCTTCCTTCATTTGAGCAACACAGGCTGCATTATCTTCATGGATGACAGTTGGATTATCTGTCTTCGAAGTTAGACCACATGAATTCTGGATATGATGGATCATTGATCTTAACCAAGAACATTCACGACTTGTTTCATGTAAAGTAAGCATTTCTGAATGATTTGAAGATGTAGCAACTAATGTTTGCTTGGTTAAGCGCCATGAGATTGTTGTATCTCCATTCTTAAACACATATCCAGTTTGTGAGCGGGCTTTATGCGGATCAAAGAGAAAACCAGCATCTACATATCCAACGAGGACCTAGTCATTTGTGGAGTTCTTTAAGTAGAAGAGACCCATGTATGTTGTCTCACGAAGGTATCGCAATATATCTTTGATACCCTTCCAATGGCGAATTGTTGGAGCAGAGCTATACCTTGCTAACAAGTTAACTGAAAAAGCTATATCTGGTCTAGTACATTGTGCTAAATACAACAGAGCACCTACTGCACTCAGATATGGTACTTTTGGACCATGGACCAGTTCATCATCTTCTTTTGGACGGAATGGATATTTCTTAATGTCCAAAGAATGAACAACCATTGGCGTGCTGAGTGGATAAGCCTTGTCCATACCAAATTGCTTCAGAATTTTTTCAATGTAAACTGATTGGTGGATCAAAATTCCACTAGCACAATGCTCGATCTGCAGGCCAAGACAAAATTTTGTTTTTCCAAGGTCTTTTATTTCAAACTCGCTTTTTAGATATTCAGCAGTTTTATTGAGCTCTTCAGGAGTTCCAACTAGATTCATATCATCAACATTTACTGCCACTATAGCAAATCCAGAATTGGATTTCTTAATGAACACACAAGGACAAATGACATTGTTGATATACCCTTCTTTGATCAAATACTCACTGAGACGATTATACCACATTCGTCCAGATTTTTTCAGCCCATACAATGATCGTTTTAATTTGATCGAGAGCATACCTCATGGTTTGTTACTTGTTTCAGGCAACTTAAGTCCTTCTGAGACTTTCATATATATGTCAGTATCTAATTCTCCATATAGATACTCAGTAACGACATCCATAAGTCGCATGTCAAGTCTTTCTAAAACCACTAAACTTATTAAGTAACGGAACGTAATTGCATCCATTACAAGAGAGTATGTCTCCCACAATCAATTCCAGGTCTTTGAGAAAAGCCTTGTGCAACGAGTCGTGCTTTATATCTTGCAATCTCATTTTTCTCATTGTGTTTCCTTGTGAATACCCATTTGTAACCCACAGGGTTTACACTAGGTGGGGTTTAGACTACTAGTCCAAAAATATTCCGCCTTTCCAAGGAATTTAATTCTGTTTGGATTGCTTCTTTCCACTTAGGCTAATCATGTCTCTATTTGCATTCATCAACAGAGCGAGGCTCAATATCATAACTTAAGATGATTTCAGTGGCTACTGTGAATGTGAACATATCATCGATGATTATTTCATTCCAATCCCACAATTCATTTGTACATGCATAATTTATGGAGATTTCTTTGCTTTCATGTACTTCTGTCTCTTCAGGGACATGTGTCTCATCAAGGATATTTTCTTTTTCTAGAAGTCCAGAATCATGAATTATGGATTTATCATTCATTTTCTCTTCCTGAATGATTTCATTTGGATTCAGTTGTGCCCTCGACTTTCTCTTTCGAGGGGCTGAATCTTTTGAACCTAGGGGTCTACCACGCTTCAGGCGTACACCAGATGAATCATTCGCTACCACTTTATTTTGTCCAATAGGGACATCAATTCTGGCAGGTGTATTTGCAGCTGATATATGTGAATTTGGCATTTGGCATCATTAAATGCATTTGGCATTTGATTGACAATACTTTGAAGATGAACGATCCTTTTCGCTTTATTTTCACATTGAATGCTGCAAGGATCAAAATGAGACAAGGTGGGAACAACCCATGTCAGCTCTTTCTGTTCTTCTGGAACGGTCTTTTCTCCCCCTAACAACAGGAAGACTGTCTCATCAAAGTGACAATCAGCAAAACGAGCTGTAAACATATCACATGTCAAAGGTTCCAAATATCTAATGATGGATGATGAATCAAAACCCACGTAAATTCCCAGTCTACGCTGAGGTCCCATTTTAGTGAGTTGCGGAGGTGCAATAGGCACATAAACAGCACAACCAAAAACTCGTAAATGTGAAATGTTTGGCTGATGTCCAAACACGAGTTATATAAAGGAGTATTGATGGTTGGCTATAGGTCTCAATCGAACCAATGATGTAGCATGTAAGATGGCATGTCCCCATGCAGAGACTTGCAATTTGGTTTTCATAAACAGAGTGCAAGCTATTAACTGAAGCCGCTTGATCAATACTTCTGCTAAACCATTTTGAGTATGTACATGAGGAAGAAGTCTCGCAAAGGCTACATTCCGAATAGACAAAAGACAAACATGTGACCATCGGGTAGATGCATCAATTAAAACCATAAAATATCGAAATGGTCCACAAGATGGTTGAATAGGCCCACAAATATCCCCTTGAATTCTTTGCAGAAATGATGGGGATTCAGCATCAACCTTTAGTTGTGATGATCTAATTACCAACTTCCCTTGAAAACAAGTTTTGCAAGGGTTATCATTTGAGATAGCAATGTGTTTGCTCACTAATGGATGTCCATTAGAGTTGGTAATGATCCTACGCATCATGGTGGATCCTGGATGACCCAGACGGTTATGCCAAAGCATGTAAACCTTTGAATCAATGAACTTCTGGTTCATGACAGTATGTGATTTAATTGTCCTTATATATGTATAATACAATCCACTCGACAAACCACACAACTTCTCCAATATACGCTTCTGGTATCATTGGAGGTAATGCATAGATACTTCACATTTTCTGCACTTTTCGTTTCAATGTGGTGTCCATTTAAACGTATGTCTTTGAAACTCAACAAATTTCGAGTAGATCGAGTAGCACACAATGCATTCTGTATGGACATTATTGTTCCATTTGCTAACATAATCTGGGTTTTCCCTGAGCCTTCAATTACATCTGAAGGTCTTGATATTGTTGTTACCCCTACTCTTCTAAGTATTAAACTTGAGAAATACTTTCGATCACGAAGTATTGTATGTATGGTTGCGCTGTCTGCAAGACAAATATCTCTGCCATTTCTCATGTTCTGAGAATAACCACAGTTTTTATCCATGCTCTTTGAGTAAGAGAATCAGAGTTAAAAACAAATTATAACAAGAAATTTACATGTCATTTTTATTGAATCTGAAATTCTACAAGTTCAGCATAATAAAAGTACATCAATGATTCAATCAGACCGGTATACTTCATTTCCCTTTTCCACAATAAAGTCTAGAACATCTAGGTTGGTTGTGTTCAACTGCCCTGATAAGTTAATCAAGTATATTCATTGGTCTAGCCTGGTCGAGAAAATTGGTCTCGACACCCTTCTCCTTGAGGGAGGCTTAATACAAATCCATCAGATGTTTTGGGGTACGACAAGTACGCGCCCAATGCCCATTACCACCACACCTATGGCAGGCTCTTTCAGCGTTCCTGGAAGCATTGTTCGTATGACCTTTACCTTTGTGGCAATTCACATTTTTGAAGTTCGAGCCTGAATTATGCCTCAGAACCTGGTTGTGAAACTGAACTCCATGGTTCTTGCCTTTCCTGTTCCACCGACCTCGTTTGTGGCCATGTCCTCGTTTATGATTATCATCACCAGAGGATGTGGCGTTCACTTCGAGGGAAGCAGCATTCACTTCTGGGAATGGTGCAGATCCAGTAAGTCGGGAATGATGGTTTTGCATCATGAGCTCATTATTCTGTTCAGCTACTAAGAGCACAGATATCAGCTGGTTGTACTCAATGTAGCCTCACGCTCTATACTGTTATTGCAGGAGCACGTTGGAGGCATGAAATGTGCTGAGAGTCTTTTCTAGCATATGTTCCTCAG